ATGAAAGGAATTGACGGCGGTTATAAATTGAGTGAGCTCCTCTTTGGTAGAGGGTAGCGCCGATGCAATCGTCAATGTTGCGGCCGTAGAGTTCAGGTTTTGGGCCGTGGTATTGGCTAAAAAATTGATGTTCGATAAAACCTACAAAAAGATTGGCGTAGCTGGGTCCTCATTACCACTCCTAGAACTTCGTGTATTTACTTTTTACCTAAAATCCACAAACCTAACAACCCAGGTCGACCCATCGTCTCTGCCTGCAGTTGTCCCACTGAACTTATTTCCAGCTATTTAGACAAAATTATGGCACCTATTGTCAAAACTTTACCGTCTTATATTAAGGACAGCCAACACGCACTTGAAATTTTTCGTGACTTTAGTTTCCTCGACCAAAACAAACTTATTTTCACCATGGATATAACATCTCTTTACACTGTCATTCCCAATGACGAAGGTCTCCGGGCCCTCAAACATTCGATCAACGCACTGTTAAGGAACCTTGCTCTGAAACACTACTCCGTCTGGCCGAACTAGTACTCACACTCAATTGCTTTTCATTCGGCGGTAACTACTACAAACAAACTAATGGCGTGGCCATGGGTACTAAAATGGGACCCAGCTACGCCAATCTTTTTGTAGGTTTTATCGAACATCAATTTTTTAGTAAAAAACAAAAACAAAACAAGACAAAAACAAACAACAACAAAAAAGGAAAATGAAAGAGGCTGTTAAGCAAGCTGGCTGAACTGCGCCGTTTTGTGCTAAACATCTAGATTTTTGTAATTTTGACAATGATAACCTAAAATTCACTTTTTTCCTGGCAGACTCAATATTCAAAGAACACAACGTTGCGTGAAATAAAGACTCAGCCTTTTTAGAGCTGAGGTTATCCCGTCAACCAAGTATTCAGATATTTTATGCTGACTTCTTCAAACAATAGGGACTAGGAAGCTACAGATCCAAAAATGTTGACGTCCTCGCAGGCTGATAACGGTAGGAAAGCCACCTTCACAAATGGCGCCTGGAAGTGTCCTAAAAATAGCTAACGCTACCATTGTTGCTGCTGCAATACTTACGAAAAACACAAAGCACAAACACCTTTGACATTTTCCATCAATTAAGTGCATATCCCCTTATGACAGAAGTGATGCACTCTTCAATGATGGACAAAGCCTGGGTTTAATGGATGTTTTCCGATAATTATTATTGCATGCTGTCACTATCTATGTCGCCTTTCGGTGAACGCGCGCATTGCAGACCTATTTCCTCTATTTTTGCTTTAACCATGGCACTTCATTCTCTTCAGGCTCCACGGTGCAGCCTCCATTCTCGTATCCATTAAGAATTAAACTCACCTTCGCCATCTTATACACTGCAATCATTTCAATGGCCTTAGTTGGAAACATTTTGGTGATCTATATTCTGTACAAGAGGCCAGAAATAAGAAGATTAACAAGCTTCATGTACGTCAACCTCACTGTGGCCGACCTACTCATAACAGTTGTTGTCATGCCTCAGTCGATGGAACTAATAATTTTGGATAATCTGTGGATCGATGGAACATTTGGTGAACTCCCTGCCAAGTTCATCATGTTTGTTTTCTTCGTGGCGGTCACAGCGTCCGTCTTCTCTCTAACAGCCGTGGCTTTTGACTTCTACTTCGGGATTGTCCTTCCCATGCAAAAGTTCCCTCTCTTTAGGAACAAAAAGATCTTGGTTCCCTCAATT